CTTTATTTTATTTTTTTAGAGATCTTCAATTTAATGTCAGTATTTTTTTCATTTTTGCATTAATACCAGGAGGCTTGAAGTTAATACTAAGTGTTGCTTCATGTTGCTTTTAATAAGGTCTACCGGTTGATAGAACTGAGATACTTTAGCCCCAGTTATATTAACATTAATAAGGTCATATTCCACATTTTATAAATTGGATTATGCATTAGGGACAATTTCAAAATCTCTTTTTGAGTCAAGTTTGAAATAAATTAACTTTCTAGGTGATATTTAGTTTTTTATAAGTGGATCTCTAAAGGTTGGGTGTAGAATCAAACTGCAACCTTACTGAAGAGTTCTTACATAAATGAGCAATTAGATGCCTGATCTGTTGTGTGATGATATTGATGCTCCTTAATCCCCACTGTGAGTCTTCAAGGGTTTTATTATTAACAGCTCACCTCTTATCTTTTTCTAATGGTCCTGGTAAATTGAGGGCAAGCCGTTCTCTTTTAGCTCCAAGGTGCTAAAGTCCTGTCATCTTTACTCTGTCATCTCTGGCTTAATTATGCATAGAGCAGATAAAACCAGCTTTAATTACCTTCCGACCCACTGTCCTCCTAAATCCCAGCGATCAACACCGTCGGCTGCAGGGATTTCAGAGGACACGGTGCGACCTCCTACACGATCTGACAGAAACACAGCAAACATTAAGTAAACAAGTTCATTTAAGCTTCACTTTCTTCCAAGGTGCACAAACCTTTCGCCTCTAAGATAACGATTTTCAGTTTAGGGTCCCGTTTTCTGAGCAGATGAGCCGCACTCAGTCCAGAGAGCCCGGCTCCGATTATAACAACGTCCCAGATGTCAGCCGTCATGTTGGAAGTTCAGGTGAGTCTGATTATTTAGGGTAAAGGGTAAACACTGTTGTCATTGCTTTAATCTGACGTTTTACCCAGCTAAAATGCTGATTGGTTGAAAGTTTTCTGCACCCGGAAAGCGTAAAGGTAATGGGTCAACCTCTTGATAGTCAGCCGGTATATAACCTGGATAGAGGGAGGAGTCATTTCGTGGCTGGTGATAAAGAATGACCAACTAGATTGATCTTTTAACTTGATAAATACACATCAAGAAAAGCATTATAAATTATACATTTTAAATCCTATTAATGACCTATTCCTCACTGCATATTTTTTCAATTATAATTATTTTAATTCTCTCTCTATTTATTTATTTTATTTATTTTTTATTCAAAATATGCCTCATGGTTGCGTTGGAATAATAAAGAATAGGGAGAAAGAAAGAGGTAAAACTTTTGCAGGGAAAGGACAATGTGAAAAAAAATAAATAAATAAAATAAATAAATAA